TTTGGTAATTTATTGTAATAGAATATTTTACTAAGGTTTTAAGGCGCTCGCAACAGCATAAGGTCATATGAGCGCCAAAGGGTGGATGTCAACTGGAAAGTCCAAACGGGGAATTTAATCAGGCTTACTCTGCTCATTTCCCTAGGGCCTCAACTGTCAACAGCACAAAGTCTGCTTCGACTATCAAGGCACCCCGGATATAGCAGTTTACAGAAGAGTGACAAGTCACAAACATACAAAAGAAGTAGAGGATAAACGACAATAGTAAGGATAAGGAAAGAAAAAGCAGCAGTTCCCCCAATGTTGTTCCGGCACAGTATGAGCATGACATTGATAAATCAGCCCATTTACAAATCTGCTTGGCACAAGAACATGTCAATAGCCCCCCTTTGGGAATGGCCAAAGACAACTTCAGTTAGTAGCACTGCCCTGGTTTGGGGATGGGGGGTTTGTGCCTCAATTATTGTTTACACCACCAACGTCAAAAAATAGAAAATTTGGCATATTTATTCCCGACCACGGGGCGGGGTTTGTTTTTTTTCTATTCTCTGACAATTTAAAAAAAATGAAGTTATGCTCAGTGTTTATCAAAGACCACAATAACATTTGATCATTGTCAATCAAGAAAGATGGTACACGTCTCAACATCAGAAAATCAAGCCATTGGCATGCTCCATAATGACTGTCCCCATGTTTTTATGCATCCCGCACAATTTGATTTTTTTTTTGTGTGCATAATTTCTGATTATTTTCCATTATCATTCTTTGTTAAAATTAACAGACACACATAATTTCACATTTTTGGGCGCAGTTTGCATAATTTCAGAATTTTTTAAAACATAAAACCGCATGTACAAAAAGATGTATAAATCTATATTTCTACTGTTGCCAGGATATTCAACGTCAACAGAAAAACAGACATTGAACAATTTTTGGAGTAGATGTAGTCGATTAAATCATAAAGTAGAGGTATGTTTAAAAAGGTCTTGTCTGGACCTCTGTTGAATTTTCCACGAGCATCTTTAGACTTTAGGTCGAAGGATGGCCTTTCAGGTACTTGTTCCTGCCCAACAGCAAGCGCCATGAGTTTGTAATCAATCAATGTTACTACCACAGAACATCTGATGATAGCATTCTGAAACAATCTCAACATCCTGGGAAGCATACAGAGCAAGCTGCCATTTATAGTTGCTAAAACACTAACACTAACTGTCTGCCTATGGTTGGGTACCCATTCCCACCTTGGCGAAGGGAGGAAAATTCGTGTAAAGTGCCTAAGGACACAACATCAGGCATGCGGCTCGAATCCCCGAACCCGCAACCTCATGACTACCAGTCCGGCAGCCTAACCACCAGTCTAACAACGCCACAAGCGAGATACTAGATAAAAACACTCCCCAATCGAGAATCGAACTCGGGTTTCCTGCATGGCATGCACTAACCGCTATACCACAGAGACGCCTTTGATATTATCACAATTATTGTGAACAGACGTGTGGGCCTCATGTGTTTACACAATAGTACATACAGCCAAACAATTAAAACAAGGGAGTGCTTATTTAGGCCACATATGGCCTAAATAAGGTAAGGGAGGGGGGTTTAGCTTATTTAGGCCACACATGTTCAAACTACCCTTTTCAGGCAACTGAGTTCATTCCACTTTCATAATGGTGCCCCTTTCTCATTTAGTATGGTTTTGCCTCAGTGTACAACTTATAAATCATAACCATAATGAATATTGTAAAGAACAAAGCACAAAACGCAAAATTTTGCTCAATTCCAATGGTTTGAATGAGGGCCGGATTTTTCCTTCATGGAGGGGCAAAAGCTAGGCTACCATTTTTGCACACTTTGGTCAAGTGAAAAGGTCAAATCCTCCGAATGGACTTTCGGGTTAAATTTGGGGTATAAAAAGTGTGTATACTACGTGGCTGAGTCAAAGTTACACTATCTTTGCCTGAGTGACACCCTCTCGTACTGTCTCGTAGTAGTACATGTAGGCTAGTAGGCCTAGTAGTAGTAGTAGCAAAGATCGTGTAGAGAATATTTGGTAGTAGATTCTATCTAGTAGGCAGTTTAGTGAACGTGCTCGCGGCAGGGCGAATCGGCCTCGATAAGCCCCGTAGACTTTTGTGATCGGCCACGAAGCCTCGTGTTTTGATGGGTCTAGATCTAGATCTAGATCTAAACAACTCAGTGCTATTCGCACTGCCACATCCGACAGGCCTAGATCTACATCTTTTTAAAAGGAAAAGAAAGATCATCAAAATAGTTGAATTCGCATGAAAATCGATTAGGTAGAACTAGAACTATTAAAACTTGCTTCTGAAAACAAGGCAATTTTTATACGAAGGCCATTTTTATAACTCGATGAAATAAAAACTACTGACTGTGTACTGTGTTATTCTGTATAAAAATAAATTATGAAACTTCAGGACGTAGATCTATTATTATTTACCAGCATCTTTTGACGCCTGAGCTGTAGAGGTTGAAGTTTTCACAACACTAATAGATCTAGTAATAGGGTTAGGTAATACGGCTTTCCGTAAAAAATGCATAGATCTACAAAAGCCGACCACCGAATCAACCGGGCGCCTCGGTCTCCCCTGCACTCTGATTCAATATTATATTTAAACAAAAATGCTAATCAATGAAAATTGCAAATTGATAATAATAGTATAGTCCTGTAGAGGATAGGTGGACTCCGGGGTCTGCATAGCGAAATACTAGGTTTTAGGATGTGGACCCCGGAGTCACCGTAGTGAAATAAGGTTTGGTTTAAGTAAGGATTGGTACTAGGTTTTAGGACAGGTGGACCCTGGGGTCACCGCAGTGAAATAAGCAGGTTTCTTTAAAGATTGGTGGAACCCGGAGTCACCAAGGCCATAGAGGATTAAGAAGGTTTAATTAAGGATTGGTGGACCCCCGGGACACCTTGATTAAACCTACTTATTTTACTACGGTGACCGCAGGATCCACCTATTCTAAAACCTAACTAGTGTTTCGTTAGGTAGACCCTGGGGTTCACCTTAAACCTACCTATTTCACTGCGTTGACTCCAGGGTCCACCAATCCTTAAAATTAAACCTAGATCTATCTACATGTACTTATTTCACTACATTGACCCCAGGGTCCACCAATCCTTAATTAAACTTAGATCTACTGATTTCACTACATTGACCCCGTGGTCCTCCAATCCTTAATTAAACCTATATCTACTTATAATTTCACTACTTTGACCACGGGCTCCGCCAGTCCTATTATAAAATAAACTTAGATCTACTTATTTCATTATGTTGACCCCGGGGTCCACCGATCCTTAGTTAAACCTAGATCTACTTATTTCACTACGCTGACTCCGGGGTTCACATCCTAAAACCTAACATTTTGTTAGGTAGACCCCGGGGTCCACCTATCCTTTTGGCTAGATAGACCCCGTAGTCCGCCTATCCACTTTCTTGATAATAACTGATAATACATGCCAGTTGTCATTTATAGTGAAGAAAAATGAGGGGAAAAAATATAATTAGGTAGACTTTAATTTGCCCAAAAAATTGCAAGTGCAAGTGAAGATCATAAAATAATTTTTTTATTTTCTGGTCACCTTTCCAAGGACCTTAAATTGATTCTACATCACATGTCATGTACGATACGGCTGTGAAGGAAAATGGATGTGAAGAGTTTTAAAGAGATAATAACGTAACTTGTAAAGAAAACAATGCTTTACATTGGTTTGGTTATTTTGACTACATATGTGGCCTAAATAAGGTAAGGGAGGGGGGTTTAGCTTATTTAGGCCACAGGTGTGGCCTAAATAAGGTAAGGGAGGGGGGTTTAGCTTATTCAGGCCACAGGTGTGGCCTAAATAAGGTAAAGGAGGGGGGTTTAGCTTATTTAGGCCACCTGTGGCCCAAATAAGGTAAGGGAGGGGGGTTTAGCTTATTTAGGCCATATGTGGCCTAAATAAGGTCACCCTTAAAACAATCACTTATTACACCTACATCAATCATCAAAAAAGAACAGTAAACTTTCCAGTGGTATTTTTGCCCAATTTTATTCATTGACAAGATGAAATTTGTACAGCATTTTCTCGTTATCAGCTTCTTCCTCTCAAAAATACATACAAACACACACACTCACAGATGACAGATAGTTTTCTCTATCAGCCTGAATAAATAAAAGCACACAAAACAAAACATCATCAAATCGCAACCCCTCCCTTCCCGCTTAAACCAGGTCACACAGGCAATCAATCAATTCACATAAAATTCATTGGAAGCAGATGTATGGATCAATTGTTCATCATTCTTAAACAAACAAATCAAATTAAACACAGAACTTAGAAAAACCTAGTTGTCAATTCACAACTATTGCTACAAAAACTAAAAGAAGAAAGAAAGGAACAGAAAGAACGCTAGAGGGCGACCGAGAAAGACCTGGATAGATGGAGTCAGGGAAACACTAACAACTCATGGCATCCCCCTGAACCAAGCTCTTCGACTATTGGTAAAGAGACGTCTCTTTCTTCCCGTGACACCCAAAAGGGTATAACTAAAAGCGGCGGATAAAAGTAAAAAAGGTAAAGTATGTCAATTCACAACTTTTCAGAAAAACAATATTATTTTGGCAACTCTGCTGTAATAAACACACTGTTACAGTTACAGTGAATGTGAAGACATATAAATCATAAAACCAAATCTTTGCCTGAAAATGTAATTCGTAACTGCAGAAGGATAAATGCCCTCATCGATACTATTTAGATAATTTGTGAAGCGTGCTGCTTCAACTCCACCTGTCACGACTGACCCAGGCTGAGAGTCTGAGAGGGATACAATGTCCCACTACTCCCAGCAGCAGAAAGGAATTGAGCCAACATCTTCTGCATGTGACGACAAAGTGCCTAACCGCTATACCACAGATGTCGGTATGGAAACATTCTGCTTCACGTCAAAATAAAAATATATAATTAATGACAATGATCAAGTAATCAGGCATTCGAAAAAACCTTTTGACATAAACTGAGATAATGAAACAAACAAGCAGCTGCCAAAGTTACTCTTTAACCCAATTTGCTTTCTTATACTGCCTCAACAGACGGCTACAGTTTCTACATGACATTTTCCGAAGAGCAGCAGCTTTCTGAACTCAGTCAAGGTAAGCTGACCGATAGTGTGTCGCAGTCAACGAGGTTGCCATGACCAGCTCGTTGTCCTCGTTGGATCCAAAAATTGAAAATATGAAGGTCTCGATCTGGACCTACCAATCTAGAGTTCATCCAGTTTTACACAGCCTACATTGCGTTCCCACCTACCCCTCCTATCCCTACCGTCAAGGCTAACCCTCACCCATCCTCTTGTCTTTGGGGCCCATAATAGGAGGCACACTAGATCTAGCAATACAATGTGTTAGGAATCGAGGATAGGCCTTGTGCTTAGTGTGAGATGGAGAGAAAAGAGAAAAATGATTTGCTTTTGGGGCCGCTAATTGCTTTTATTTCTCTCACACACATGCTCAGATGCAAGAAAAGACCAAGGAACTCGACAGCCTATCAAGGAGTGTTGGCCTACGTATACATCCAGGCAAGTCAAAAGTAGTGAAGCTAGGAAAAGTTTCAAACCTTGCTGTGACAGTGGAAGACAATCCCCTAGAAGAAGTGGACTCCTTTACCTACCTTGGAAGTGTCATCGATGGTAAAGGTGGAACTGAGGCAGATGTTAAAGCAAGAACCGCCAAGGCAAGGTCAGCCTTCAAGCAATTATCAAAAGTCTGGAAAGCAAGCAACATCTCACTGCGCAACAAGATTCGACTTTTTAACTCCAACGTCAAGTCTGTGCTCCTCTACGGCTGCGAAACTTGGAAGACAACGAAGACAGTACTGAATAAAGTCCAGACTTTCATCAACAGATGTATGAGGAGTATTTTAAGAATTAAGTGGCAGGAAAGAATAAGAAATGAAGAGCTGTGGGAAAGGACAGGACAAAAGGATATAGAAGTAGAAATAGGACTAAGAAAGCCCAGCGGAAACATCACAAGACAGTCACTGCAGTGGAACCCACAGGGAGCACGAGGCAGGGGTAGGCCACGGGAAACATGGAGGAGATGCGTGGAAAGGGACATGAGAGAAATGAAGCTCACTTGGAACGAGCTTGGAAGGATGGCTCAGGACAGAGATAAATGGAAGGAGCTTGTATGTGGCCTATACCCTGCCAGGGGTGAAAGGCATTGATGATGATGAATTGCTTTTATTTGGTTATCATGACCTCGTTGGAAGCGACTTTGTGCAACTTCGGAGCTGATGTACATTTACAAAGAGATATAGAGGCAAAAATCGGGGATTAAGGATTGCCCTCATTGGAGCCAACTTCTCGTTGAATGTGAACTTGTTGAAAGCAACAACCACTGTTATTGATTTTAACTCACTCGAGACGTTTCAAGCAGCATTTGCGAGCACCAATATTTTTCCCGAGAGGCGACGAGTGCAAACGCTGCGTGAACCATCTCTTACTACCGTGCAGCCGACCTTCGTTTCGCTTCGTGTGAAGTTTCACAAGAATTGGCAGGAAACTTTTTGAGTTATCGACCCAGAAGGAAAGTAAGTCACACTGAGGCCATACTTTCATTTCTCCAACTATTGTCTGTTCTCACAACACTTTGTCAGTACGATGGCAGCATGTTCAGTTTTAGTAAGAGTTTTCCAGCACTTGCAACACAATAAATTAAGGTCCTTTAAGTGCCGAAGATCAGGTGTTACAAGAGAGTAACAAACGCAAAAAAGGAGGAGAGATCAGGACAGGAGTTGTTTGATTTATATAAGAAAAGAAGGAGCAAACCACATCAGAGCACCTGCCAACGACCCACTTGGCAGCACGAAAAGCAAAAAGCAAACATTTTTCAAGTGTTTGACAACTCTGACAGTTCAGAAAATTCTGATTATGATATTTTAGACCATGGGGATCCTGATTTCAATGTACATGAGCATCAAAGCACTGATTTAGATACAGAATATTCAAGACACAGACTAGGCTTTCAAAAGCAAAATTCCGCTTTGTCTGGAGCCCTGTTTTTTTCCCACTGAAGTGGATTAGACAGCTAACACTAAGGATTACCATATCGATTACCTGCCTGTTCATGAGTTTGGACTTTTTATTCATTTTGAAACACAAAATACAATAAAAGACACACACAAGGTCAATCTTTTTTTTTTTGGAGGGGGGTGTTACACAAGACATTACAGCAAAAAATTTTGGCGAGCAACAAATTTAAACACATTTTTAAAATATCATTTCTAAAAAACTATAAAATTAAAAGATATTGCCTTTCTGGTTTTTTTGTGTCATATTGGGAATGTTTAGATCTGTTTTGTGAGTAAAAATGGAGGTTGTATATTGTATGTCTTTGGGAAGGGAGTTGCTTAAAATATTGAAATACCCCCCAAAAATGCCAGTCTTCAGCGCATGTAAGCCTAGACTCGAAAAAGGCCCAGTCTCCAGTGATTTAATAATGAATATGGGGTATTTACAGCTTCAAGTGTATTCAAGATGAGCTCAGCTATTATGTTAGAAAACCTAACAAAGGATTCTAGATTTTGCAAATCTTGTAGTGGATGTCTGCTGCACCATATGTTGGCAAGCAGCTTGTCAGTTAAGTGACCAACAATTACAGTTTAGTGGTGGATGAAGTTGACTGTGTTCACAGATCAGTTGGTAGAACCACTAGTAAAAGTAAAAGTGTTCATAGTAAATTGGATGTCATGAGACTTCAATTACATACCAGGGAACCATCCACAAGCACACAACCCTGTAGAGCACATTGCTCGTGACTTCAATTTCCTTCAACCCTACACAAGGCCTAACATATGATCTTGTCTGTTCTCGCTGCATGAGTAGCCTTCCATTTTCCGTTCTTTTTCTCAGTACTCTACTCAACATGGAATCTGCTTAACACATACAAATTCTCTGGTCCCACAAATTTGTGCTAATAAGGTTTTACTGTATTCATTGAGCCTTTAAGAGCCATTTGGGGGTTCAAATCTGAATGTTCATATATGAGGCCTGCTTCTTACTAATCTCCAATCCTTGAAAATCAACAAACGGATCAAATTTGTAGATTTCCAACTGATGCTATTTTCTTCAATGTACCATATCTTTTATCAGTTCATACTAATATTAATTTATTGTAAAACCATAACGTACAAATTAGATGACCATTTATCCATTGGGCTATAATCCAAGGAGTAACTCATTTTGTCAGCATACCTCACACATCATATTTTAATTTTCTCATGAACACCTGAGCATTCTGGGAAAATGCATGGAACGGAAATAGGGTTTCAGGAAAAAGACGAGAAACATAGGAGAGAACTACATCTGAGGCTACCCTACACAGCTACAGCAATCAGAAGTACATGAACAGAAGAGGAGACTAGACCCTCAAAGGCAGGCAAACATCAAAACGTAGACTATGTCGGGCTGGAAACAAAACGGCAGTAAACAGTAAAAATAACGTCTCATAATCTTATAGTATAGCTAGCCATCAACACATCGCTACCCTAGAATTACAAAGTTTTATCTGCTCAGGACCCAGTTTTGAGAAATTTGACATTCAAAAAATTTGAGTTTCACATGTCAAGCTTTTTCTAATGCAATTTTTCTAATATCTTCATAACAACTCTGAATGATCCTATGATTTTGATAGAGCCAATAGAACATTTGGTTTCTGACCTCTCAGTAACTCAAAACGGCCAAAAATGTCAGAGGGAACTTTGTAATTCTAAATGCAGTGGTATCTAGATTCTACAGAGTTGTTTCATCACAGCAGATGACAAATTCTTCAAGAAAAAAACTGAATTAGCCACAAAACAAACCAAAAAAAATATATAAAATTTTTAAAATAAAACAAAACAAAATGTTTCAGTCTGAGGCTTCAGAGGACACCAAGTGCTCCAGGCCCTTCCACAGGGACCTGCTCTTCTTCTCTTGCTGTGGGGTCACAACTTTCTTTTTCTTCCCCCGCAGTCGACCTGGGGAAAAAATATGTAATAAAATAAATAATTAACGCAAAATATAAAAAAAATAATTTTTCCCCCAATTTTTTAAATTGACACAAAAATTAGTTTGAATTTGCAAATAAAACATCAACATAATGGAAACTTTTCTTCTTCTTCTATCCCATGGTTGGGGCAACCATGGGGGCACCACTGCATCTGAAAACCAGCTCTCGCCATCTATTTTTGTCCTCTGCTGTTTTCCTCAGATTGTCACCTATAGTCTTTCCTGCCCACTCTGTAATGTTGTCCTCCCATCTTCTTCTCTGCCTTCCTCTCTTTCTCTTTCCTTGTACGGTTCCATGCAGGATTGTTTTGGCAAGTCCTGCGGATCTTGTGATATGCCCATACCATTTTAATGTTCGTTTCTTCCCTGTGGTCAGTGGATCTTCATGCTGCCACACTGCGTTGGTGATTCTCTTTCGTACCTCAGCATTTGAAACATGATCTTTGTACGAGATGTCAAGGAGTCTGCGGTAACATCTCATCTCTGTGGTCTGAATCTTTTTCTCTAGTTCTGCAGTCAGTGTCCACGACTCGCAGGCGTATAAAAATATTGAGATGACCAGTGAGCGTATTGGTCTGATTTTTTAGTTGTGCGTAATGTTTCTGTCTCTCCAAATAGGCTTCAGTTTTGACAGCGCAGTTGTTGTTTGTGCGATTCAGGAGAGAATTTCTGGTCTTGAGCCTTCATCTGAGACAATTATTGATCCAAGGTATTTGAAGCTGCTGACGGTCTCAAGTTTCTCGTCCCTGACTTCGATGTCCCCGTTGATGCCATTGGTGTTATTGGTCATTAGCTTGGTTTTCTCAGCACTGATCTCCATGCCGTAGGCTGCTGAGGTTGTGTCCAGCCGCTCCACTAGTGAGGCGAGCTCCTGTTCTTCTCCTGCTAATCCATGGATGTCATCAGCAAAACGCAGGTTAGTGATTGTCCTGCCTCCAATACTGATTGTCCATGGTGATCTTCCAGTGTGTCAGTCATGATTCGTTCTAGGAAGATGTTGAAGAGAGTGGGAGAGAGCAAACAGCCTTGCCTCACCCCAACCGTTGTCCGGAACCAACCCCCCATGCTGCTGTTAATGTAGACCGCGCTGGAGGCCTTGTCATATAGTTGTATGACGTTGACAGGGCTTGAAATAGACAGCGGCACTGCGGCAATTTGCCTTAGTGCCTTTGCAATTCGCCGTAATGCCCTTAAAATCAAAGGGTTAACCGCTGCAATTTTTGCCGTGCCATTGTTTTTTGTTTTTTAAAAATGTACCACCATGAAAATAAATCAATATTTGTCCTGTGCAGTCACTTTTGGAAAAAAAAAGAAAAGAAAACTATACAAGCGTCGTGTCGGGTTCGTCGCCGTGGCAGGTCAGTGAACCTTAGTCACAAGGTACGGCATCGTATGAGCACCAGTTGTTGGGGGTCACCAAAGTTCATTCAAAGTCAGAACGCCGCGAAGTATGGGACTCAATGGGGGGTGGGGTGGGCATTATTGATTATTTTTCATTTTTAAGATACACTCGTGAGAGAGAGAGAGAGAGAGAGAGAGAGAGAGAGAGAGAGAGAGAGAGAGAGAGAGAGAGAGAGAGAGAGAGAGAGAGAGAGAGAGAGACAGAGAAGGGGGGGGGGTCCCGTTAGACTTGTCTGAAATCTCATCAAAGCTTTAGTCAGCTTGACCATTGTGTCCATTTTGTCATGTCAAGTGCAAACACACTCACATTAACCAAACCTCAGCAGTGTCTGAAAAAAGATCTGGATGAAAAAGAAGACAGCAGATGTGAGAGAAAGTGCAAGTGTGATGATTACAAACATGGAAAATGTGTTGGATAAGCTGGTGCTGTGCTTGGAAGAAAGATTTTCTGGCACATCAGAAGATAAAGTTTTGAAGAGTGCAGGGATATTTGACAGGACAAATGTGCCTCAAACTGACAAAATGGATGAGTTGAAAGAATATGGTGAGACACAGTTGGATGACTTGATAGCTCATTACGAGACTGCTTCAACACCAAGAATGTTCAACACTGAAAATAAAGAAAGAGTGGCTCATGTTTCTCTACGAAAGTCAGGGCTTATTACCTCGGAGTGAGAACAAGACAAGTTCAGTCTTGAAAAAAGAAAAGAAATTTCCCAATCTGTCTCATATGGCTCATATAATCTCTGTTTTCTTTGAAGAGGCGCAGAAATTCATATAGTTGGCTCCCCTTCTTTGCCAGGAGGTTTGTGTTCCTATTGTCAACACTGATTTTCAATTACGCTACTTAGCCAGAACAGCAGTCTCATCTTCTCAACGTCAGTGGACTCGCTGTCTAGATCTGGCCCACACATGACATATTCAGACCCAAAATCTTTGATACTATCACTTTGTTCATTCCCTATATTCCCCATCTTACCCATAATTTCAAACAACTAGCAAATCTACTTCAAAAAGTGAATTTTACCCCCTTTTCTTAAAAAGTAATTTTGGTTATTTGACTTTATGATGTTGGAAAAACTTTAACTAAACAAACAAAAGAGATCATGCTTTCATCTACAAGACTAGACGTGTGTTTATCGATCGCTTGCAAGTCTAACAGTAAACCAATACTAGCAAATTTGGTACCAATGCGAGCATGTTTTCTCTGTGCAGAAGAGTTAGAGCTTGACGATTAGCCTTTAGTGTCCAAAGTGTTTCCCAATTATTACTCGCTATTATAATTATCCTTACTTTTTTACAAAAGAACAGTTAAAAATGAGTCATGGATTTGTTTTCTAAATAACTTTAATATTTGTACACAGATTTCTTTCAAATTTTCACACAAGGTAGATAAATGGACTTGCTACCCCTGCATGCAACAAAGAGTCAAAAGTAGGTCAAGGTGACCTTGTGAGTGAGCACTGTGACCTAATAATCAGTCCTTCCACCAGCTGAAGCTGAAAAGTAAGAAAAATTCTGCCAGGGGTCTGCACAGCAGCAGGGTCCAGGGACAGCGTCCCGGTTGGCATTCGGGGGGCGAGGCCCCCGAAGAAATTGCAATTTGGTGCTTTTTGAGGGTTGAAAATGGCATTAGGGAACCTGTTTGAAGAGATTGTCTACAACTCATAACATTTATTTTTTAACCAACATTTTGTCTTGTCTGATTTCTTCCCCTACGTATCTTTCCATAGCTGGCAATGTTCAAAGCAGGACCCCCTTGCATTCCTATTATAATTAAATTAATTTGTCATCGCACCATTGATAGAAGGCAAACCAGCAGCGACTGTGCATGTGTTTGCAGAACTAGATCTTGATCTAGACATAGCACCAGTGCTTTTTTCACTATCAATATCTGAATCATGACTTCTCATCAACTGTTACACACCAAATTCATCCTCAATTGAGATATCTGACTGATTATCTTCAACACCACTGTCAGGAACGTGAAACAGCTCAAACAGATTTCGCAGTGAAGGACCAAGCAACTTATCTTCAGATAAATTACTCATTCCGCTTCTTCAAAGCCACCAACTCTCTCAGTTCATTTATCAAAACTTTCTACTGTGCAAGCAAACTTTAACACAGTTGTTTCTCCTGACAGGCAGCAGAAAGTAGTGACAACTAGAGTCAATTGAGAGCAGCGGTTTTAAGCGGTATTGGATTCTAGGGCGGCAGCGGATAGCAGCGGTATAGGATACTAAAGGTTAACGGGACATACATGTGGCGCCTTACAAGCAACCAGGAACGGTAAATTTTGCTTCCATGAATGTCCATGATACGGCACAAGGCGAAAAATTAAGCATTTTCAAGATGAACCAAGTACATAAGGCATCAACAAATGGTTATCCTGCCCAGATTCAGATGGGCACACTGCAGGTGACACTAATGGTACTCAAGAACAACTGTGCTAGGTGCCTAAATGACAAACAATGCTGTATCCCAACAAGGATCTGGGACAGCAAAAATTGGAATGGCCTCGCCTAAAAGGATGCATGTGTCTTACTAAGAAGAGTGGTTGAAGAGGAGGCTACCAACGTAAACAATCACTTTAGCTTTTTTTTTTTACTTTCTATATGAAGGCCTGCATTTTTTGAGTAACCATGAAACCAGGCTTACTTTCTACTACAGGTGCTCCGCCATCTCCACTGACCAAGTCTTGCAACTCCCTCTGAAGTTTCAGCTCCTCAGCTTTTTTCATGGTCGGACGGCCTGAGGAAGAGACAAAGAAAACCAAAAGGTAACTTATCTACTCTTGCAGGTTTTTAGTTTTAGTTTTAATAGAGGTTTTGCAGTGCTCACAACTGCATACGGTCACATGAGCGCCAAGGTGTGGATGTCAACAAAAAATGTCCTTTCAGGGAATCAGGCTTACTCTGCTCACCTCTCTAGCCTCAACAGCACAGTCTGCTTCGATTATCAAGGCACCCCCAGAAATAGCGGGGCACAAGAGTTTGACAAACATACAAAAGAAGTAGAGGAAAAATGACGATAGTAAAGATTAGGGAAATAAAAAGCAAAAGTTCCCTGTTGCAGTTCAGGCACAGTTATGAGCATGACATTGATGAATCAGCCCATTTACAATTCTACCGCGCATTAGAGCATGTTAACTCATTCGCTACGCCGAGCCGTGGGGGGGGGGGCGGCACGGCTGAAGTGCCGTCAGTACACTAAGCCGCCACCGGCGGCGCGAGAACCGATCTTCAATTTTAGCTTAGATTCTATTCCAATCCACATATCCATGTTAAAATAAAGGTCATAATTTAATGTTGGCTTTCGGGTCAAGCATTTCCACTGAAAATCAGAAATTTAGATTCAGTTTTGAAACGCGATTTCGTAGTTTATTCGACTGTTTTATCGCGATGCCAAAATTATAGCCCGGACACCAGTTTTTGTAATTTTACACAACAAAATCTATCATTATTTTGCCCACTAGAGAAGTGTAGGACTTTTTTATAACATTGATATGATTGGACTCATATTGCCAATGCACTGTTATTGAGAAATCAATCTTTTTGAGTGCTAGATCTAAATAGTCAAAATATTTTTTTCTCCCCAAAATCACTACTTTTTGATGAAATTACACAAAAAGTGCCACTCAAGACATGTATAGGTTTATTCCAAATGCAATTCTGAATAATTCCATATAAGATACGAGCAGGGTTTTTTTCTGTTTGTGATCGTTTTTCAAGATTATAAACATTTTTATTTTTTTTCAATATCGGATGTTATGTTCAAAATGTACAAATATTATGGAATGTAGGTAAATAACTGCAAACGTTTCAATATTTTCCAGTTCTTTATTCATTTAGGGTTATTTTGATGTATCATTTGACTTGGTGCAAAATTATTTTTTGAGTTTCACCAAAGATTATAAATTTTTTATTTTCAAATTTTAGCCGTATCGAATCAAAACAGCGTTGCATAATCGCCTCTTACAGGAACCAAAGTTGAAAAATACATAAATAAACATTACAGATGTATTCTACGAACCATACGGAAAATATTGGTATATAATACGTTGATATTTATTTGAATTTGTGGCCCCAAAGACCTTTTAACTGGCCACTAGTCATCCTCTCTTTCGCTCTCCCGAAAAAAAATTCGTCCACAAGCCGAAAATAATACGTAGCGAATGAGTTAATGTCCCCCCCTTTGGGAATGGCCTAAAGACACTTCAGTCAGTAGCACCGCCTCGGGGGGAACTCTTTCAGGGAAAATTTGGTACATAAAGTATAAAGAAAGTTGCATATAGCCCTATATTGTGACAGAAGAGAGAAAGCAGTTTGGTAGGAGTTTCACAGCACTTGGAACAGTATTAGGTTATATTTATAAGTGCCCAAGATTACAGGTGTTACTAGAGTGAACCATACAAACAATAGGAGAGATATATATGGAAGATAAATGACTGATAGAAAATAAGGAGCACATCACACCAGAGCACCCGTCAACCATCAATCAGAGGGAGAAAGTAGGACAGTCAGAAGAAAATAGAGGGGAGGAGAGCTGCCGCTGAACCTATTAGACTAAATAAATAGTACCCTCCAACAATCCATCACATACATGTCATGTAAAATACACAACCAGATAAAAAGCTTTACAATTATTATGCCACAAACACCACCATTAGCATCAACACTGCAGCTGTGAAAAACAGCTACCTGTATAAAAATCTGCATTTGTGTGGCTGTACTTATTACCCTGTAACAGTTTACGTCCTTGTACATGTACCTTTTGTTGTCAATAGTGTATAAATTTTTTTAGCTTGTCTTTACAGACATGGAAAAGTAAGTTCCACAGACAGAAAAATCATTCCCCCAAAAAGGTACAGTATTTTGAAAATTTTGTTCATAACATGAGACAAATTTCCTGCTAATCAAAAATAAAGTCAGAATGAGGAAGGTAGCCCACATGTGGCGAATGTTACCAGAGATGACCCCCCCCCTCGCGTTCCTTCCCTAAACAACAGTCAGGTCACTAGTAAAAAAACTAGGCCAACACAATACAATGCAGCGTATGTTGTAAAATATATGCCAACAAGCGTATGTTTTCCCTGTTAACAAAAAAAACAACCCCACTAAGACCTTTTTCAAAATGTATCATCAAACCTTTCATGCCACGGTCTCGCAGCAGCTGCCGAATCCTGTCAATCTTCTCAGAGTCCGCCACGCAGCCACTCAACTCCCGCTGGTTCCTCAGCACTAAACCCACGTGGCGACAAATGGCTCGAAGACGCACCAACTGCTTTGACAAGCCACCAGAGACCTGATCACATGAAAGACTTTCCAATTACCCAACCAAAGTTTTGTTTGAGTTGTGAGTGAAGAGAAGCACATCAACACAACAACCATTATTAGGTGCTGGGAAAAAGTAATAATAGATAATAGATAGCATTTGTATAGCGCATATCCCCGCTCAACAGCAGGCTCTATGCGCTTTACACTATATTATTACCCCAGCAGACCATAGTACACTCCGAAACATTCTCAGCTTCCCGGGAAGCATACAGTGCGAGCAGCCGATTAAGCGCTCAAACACTAACAAACTGAAAAGATCTTTCGCTGTGTGTAGCCGGGTACCCATTCTCACCTGGGTTAAGTGAGGAAAATTCGTGTAAAGTGAGTTTCCCAAGGACACAACGCCGGGCCCTTGACGGGATTCGAACCCACGACCTTACGGTTGCGAGTCCGAGAGCCTAACCACTAGGCCACCGACGCCACGTAAGACAGGCATACAGAAAAACCAAGGGAAAGAAATTTAGTAGAACCTGCCTCTAGCTCCCTAAGGCTCCCTTCAACAATGAACACTAAAAATTGAAAACAAATTCTTTTATCACTTTGACACCAAATATACTTCCCTCTGATGTTTTTTGCTACAAATTACATATATAAAAAAAGAATAAAGAGAGAAACTGAAAGAGTGCATATTCAGCTGGTGTAATACCGTTTCTTAAGTTTTATAAAATATTCCTGAAAGCACTGTTTCCAGATATAGCACCACTGTCACAAGCAATCAACTTAAGTCAAAATTTTGAGAATTTTCAGTATTTACACCCCCCCAAAGCTCTATTGAAGATGTACCTTTCAACATCACCAAAATGCATTTTAATGCTATGGTCAAGGCGTACAATTTTCTTGCTTTTTAACGCTTGATTTTATAGGAACATTTTTTTTTACACACCAGTTGGTAGAAATGCATTAATAATCATATGAACACACACACTAACATGTCAAGTATGGACAAAATACAGATCTGCAAGAAGCTATTCTTTTAAACACTATACTAAAACTCTTCTCCCGACAACAACAAAAACACAAAACAAAAAAACGTTCTAACAACAAAAACTTTTTTGCTTTTTTTCCCTACCTTAGAATGAGCTTTGTTGTCAGGCACCTGCTTTTTTCTTCTCCTTTTTGATGCCTTCTCAGGTGGCAAAGGAGAGGAGTAGAAAGTATTTCTGACATCTTTCAGGGCTTCCATTTTTGAGTGTGCTGCAGTCGGTTTCACATGCTCGAGATCACTGTCACTGCTGCTGGAGCCACCTGGCGAGGAGCATCCATTGCGCCTGAAAGGAACTTCATTTTTGTCCCCTCCCGAGATGCAAGGGATATCTTGGTTTTCCGCAACACGCTCAGAATTGCTACGGTCTGAGGAATAATCGTCCTCTCGAGTGACAAGCTGTACGTCACTATTTTCACAGGAACCGTCTCTGTCTTGAAAACCTTGCCCAACACTATTTCTGTCAAGGAAATTGTCGTTCTTTAGCAAAACAGGCTCAACATCATTATTTTCATCGTCTGACGAGAGAACGGAAATTTTCTTCCTCTTACGCTTAATGCTGCTACTTGGTGAAGACGCTCCGTTAACCAAAGTGTGTGGCTCACTGTGTTCTCTGGCAGGCGACACCTCCAGGTCTGACATAGAATTGGAGTCCGACGAGCAGCTTGGAAGATCATATACACTCGGCGTACCCGTCTTTCCGTTCATTTCTTTCACCAAGGGCTTCTTTTTCTGTTTTATGGTAACTATTTTGTCTGCCTTATTTTCATCATCTGACGAAAGACTGAAAAGTCTTCTCCTCTTAGTCTTACTGATGCCATTCCCTGAGGAAGCTTGGCCAACCACAGTGTGTGGCTCACTGCAATCTTTAGCAGGAGTTACCACTAAGCCAGACCCAGAATTGAAGTCTGACGAGGAGCTTGGAAGATCGTATACTCTAAGATTTGCAGACGCTGTGGCGATAGGAGACTGCCTAGCTTCCACAGTCTCTGTCTTTCCGTTAAGTTCTTTACCCAAAGATTTTCGTCTCTGTTTTATGGTAACTATTCTGCTCGACTGTTTTTGGAAATTTTGACTTTGGGCTTTTCTCTTTTTATTTTTCTTGTCATCTGATAGCGGCACATTCAATGAATCACATGTCTCCCCATCATACAACTTGTTCAAAGTACCTGCTTGGATGTGAGACACACCGGCATAACCGTCGACACTATCACACCCTTTCACTGCATGTTTATGATTCTTCACCATGGGCTCCTCTTCAGAATCAGAAGAAATGTTAAGTCTATAACATTTTTTCGTTGTTTCTCGGCCCATATTTCCAGTCATCCCAACAATGTCCTCCTTCCGGCCTGCTTTATCGCTAAAGAGCTGTAGTCTCTGGAGCCTCACTTTCGGTGACCAGTATTTACGATCTTTTCCATGAGCTGACAAATTGCTGTGTACAAACCCCCGACATCCAGACCTACTCACTGCTTGATGAAGATCTCTCCAACGATCAGATATTACGAGCCCAGCAACCGAACTGCTGTCACCGTCACCACTGTCTGAACTGTTCACTACGATAGATCTTCGGACACGGTTAACAGACAGTTTTTTCTTCAAACAGAGCAAAGCCTGTCCTTCGTCGCTGTCACCATGCCTTGAGACATCTGCCGTATACGAGGGGCTTTCCACGTCCGATATCACCAGGGAGCTGCTCTCCTTTGACAACATTTGTCTCTTTGGATTAGATTTTAAGAACCTTTTGGGATCAGGACAAGAATCCGGAGATATGATTAGGAAAGGAGAATCTTTTGGTTCCGTGAATTTAAATCTAAATGGAGAATTCAATGACTTGCCAAAGATCGGAGAACAATGGTTTCGCGAATCTTCTGTCAAACCCACACAGCGCCCATCATCGTCACTGTCAGAGCCCATTATGGCAGCTGCTGCTTCCCTAGCGGAAAGTCGCTTTGGCCTTTTCCTATGGCGAGGAGTTTTCTCTGCTACAGCATCTGCAGCACTTTCCCTAAGCCTAGGACTGTTTGAATCACTTTCCGTAGACAGGGCATCCCCTGGCAGCTCTGACAAAGTTCTCTTTTGACATGTACATTTTGTACATCCATTATTTTTCTTCTCATTTGTGAAATTGGTATCGCTGCTGAGCAAAATTACAACATCACTCGACAGAGCTTCCTCCTCTACTGTACATGGTCTTTCAGGAGAAGACTGATCATCTTCATCTAAAACAAAACTGTGGTCTGCTTCTTGCTGCTTCTCAGAGACAGATGACGATTCAGCCTCACTGTCCACTTCCTCCTTAATCGAAGTATCACCGACGATCCCAGTGGACATATTAAGGCAATTCTCTGAGGATGACTGGCCACTCGGCTCAGAGCACTCTGTCACATCGGAACCAGTTTGACTCCTCTCTGAAGCCTGCTTGATCTGTAGCTTTTCATTCTGTAAAAATGGTGAAATGGTATAGATTTCTGTTATTTCAGTCTTGTGTGTGTGTTCAGTCTGAAGGTGATTTTAATTTATAAAAATCATAGCAAAGAACTTGACCTTCAAGCTGTACACAAGAAGATGAGTTGGCTTGTTTTTTTTCGACCCTGCAAACTTCTGACACTATCAAAACCTTCAATACAATGGAAAAAAAACAAAACTGGATCAACAAGAAGGCAGAAGATTTGTATGCCCTTTCAGGAAATATTTGTAGTTTATTGGATCCTCTGTGTACATATATTTGGAGAATTTCTTTGTTTTAATTTGAAGTCACATTACTGTAATAACCCCTCAATGACTGAAATAATTTTGTTGAATAAAAACAATCAAACCGAAAATAGTGAGATTTGGCAACAGCTCGTACATCTTTCAAGGAGGCAATGTTTCTGGCTCTAAACTGAAAAGGCAGGTCACTGTTCAGTCCTACAAAGAAAGTTTCCAAGATGCAGACCAATCTTTGTACTGGCGCACTGCTTTATGTTCACCATCATCTTCTTCTTCCATTACAATCGATCTGTCACTGTCATGGGACATCCCAACAAAAAAGTCATCATCTAGGTCATATCTGACATAAACTCTTCAATGTTCAAGATGTATCTTGGGATGAAAAGCTTATTTTTATGCCTCTGATGGCAGATCTGCCAAATTTTACACAATGAAATCATTCCGATAGGGGTCGATTAAAAAGAACACATTATTCACAGACCAAACAGAAAGTACGGGTACATTTCTTTTAGAAGTCGGGAAATCTAGCTTTCAAAAATCTCAAAAGACATAGCATTAGATAAAGACACAATTTTCAGGGTTAAAAAAACACGAGCCCGAAAAATCGGCCTGAGAAGTCCAGTAACGACTGATGGGTTGAAAATTTATCCGTGTCAAAAAAAGGAGGGGGGGGGGGGGGGGGGGGGTTAAAGGGTTCTCCTGGCGTAGCTACTGATTGCGCCAAAGCCCCCAGACTTTCGAAAAAGAGCATGTCCAGGCTTTTTAGACATCAAACGATATCCAGTAAAATCTATTTCCAGCCATCTACATTACTATAGCCTTCAGCTGCAAAGTATGGGGGGAGTGGGTGCTATAGAAATTATCTGCAGTATACTTAGTATATTATTATTGTTATTATTATATTATTATTATTATTATCATTATTGTTTTATTATTATTATTACTGATGCTATCAAATCATTATTATTAAATCATAATTATAAAATAATTATCATTTAATTACTTTATTATTAAATTATTATTATTATTTTTACTATTATTGCAACCCAGTAGTTCAGTAGGCTGCATTATGCCTAATTACCTCCGGCGAATTACACAAGTTCCCCAGCTGTAGAACTATACTCTCCACCACAGCATTGACAGCTTTCTTCTCAGTGGGAGACAAAACACTGAGACCTCGAACTTCTTTGTATTTTTCTCGCACCATTCGTCGTGTTATGACACTGAGGAGAGGCAAAAAATGGAATGATTACAATAAGTAATGAGGCAAAACTAAAGCGTCAATGCACAGACTAAAATATGGTCTAGAGATTTTTAGATCATGAGTGTAAAAATGTGAAAAAGAAAGGTTTCTCAACAGAAAGAAATCAAAATTAGAACAGCCCACAAACAACAACAAACATTAACAAATAAGGGCGTGTGTCCACCTGTCCGAAGAAGATTTGGCTGTTTTAACCCTAAATGTGCATAATTTTTTTAAAGAGTGCAGGATATTACATGTAAATTATGGAATCACACACATTAAGGGGCTTGCCAGTGTCAGTACATTGGTCGCATCAGTGACAAACACAGATGCCAGTTCTATGTGTCGTTATCAATAACCCTCCGTAGACAGCACACGAGTGAACACAACACATTACGTTTAAGAGCAGTACCCTTCATAGGCAACATACGTCATATCTGTAGCGAAAAACTGATTGGAATTGTAGCATTTCTTTATATAAATATTTACTGCTGACATTTTTTGGACCGATTGAACCATATTGTATACGAACAATCTTTGGAAGGCCTATACTATAATTATAGATCTATACAATATCCGAAATTTGCGGGAAAGGATGAGATTTCACAGTGTTCGGAGAAATAGTGCCCAGCTTTGCTTTATTTTCCCGAACGTTCGGAGAAATAGGGCCCAGCTTTATTTTCCCGAACGTTCGGAGAAATAGGGCCGGCCTTTTTTTTTTTAAGTCAGGGGGGCAACCCCCCGGGCCTTGTGAAAAACAAGTGAAATTTTACAGCTCATTTTGTAGGCTAGATTTTGATCTAGGCTACTGATAAAACATACAACATTGATACCGACTATTTAAATCAGTATCGATATTTCAGTAGATCTAGGCCTACACAAGTCGGGACCACCATATCCAAGTAGTGCCTTATAATGTATGTATGTATAAAGCTAAAGATAGTGTTGTTTTCAGACTTGACACCGCTTCACTCGGTGACAATTGACAAAAAGTCAATTTTTTGTCAATTGCCAAATTGACGCTATCATTCCAAAAGGAAGTGGCTATTCTCATCCGGGGTGAGAATAGAAAAACGATCTACCTCTCACCCCGGGTGAGACGTGTCAGCGTAGGCTATTCTCACCCGGTGCGAAACAAGACCTGCTTTTCCTCATTTTGGAATACTGTCTATCTGTGTGGATGATCAGATTGATAAAAGCCAAGAAAAAATTACGTTATAGCACAAAAGTAAGCTAATTTGATCGTCTTCAAAGATACTATGGCTATTTCACTGTTCGAATCGAGCCGAACTACGCGGGTCGCCATTTTGTTTTGCCCGGAAGTTCTCGCAAGATCTACTCTCCCCTCTCTCTCTCTTTCTGAATACTGTCTATCGGTGTGGATGATCAAATTGACCAAAACAAAGTTAAAAAATGATGTTAAAACACAAAAGTAAATTAATTTGGTTGTCTACAAAGATGCTACGGCTATTTAACTTTTCGAATCGAGCCGAACTACGCGGGTCGCCATTTTGTTTTGACCGGAAGTTCTCACGCTACTCCTCTCTGTCTCTTTCTCTCTCCACTGCCCACATACGCTTTTAGAGGCTACAGTTGTAATGGCACGTTTGTTCACGGCACAGATTTCGGCGCTTTTTCGGTAGTTCCCACCCCCCTTATTTGATAGAGCCTGACCTACATCTAGATCTATACGTTTGATTCGCGGCAAGCTAAGATGTCAAACCTAACAACTGCAAAACATTAAATTGTGGTAAAATTCAGGGGGGCATGCCCCCCTGAAACCCCCCACCTTGTTTTTATTAGGTCAGGGGGGGCAAGCCCCCCTGAAACCCCCCTACTCTTGGGGCCAAAACCGGCGAATAACAAATGCGGGGTGGGAACTACCGAAAAAGCGCCCAGATTTCTACAATTTTTCTGTTATCACAGTGTAGAATTCTGTGGTTTAGGCTTAGGGTGAACGCAAAATTTGTTGGCCTAGATCTAGGCTATAACGGTGAACGCGCACCCGGTGAGAATAGCCAAAAGACTAGTCTGCACTATTCTCATCCCGGGTGAGAATAGAGGTGGCCATTCCAAAATGAGGAAAAACAGGTCGTTTCACACCGGGTGAGAATAGCCTACGCTGGCATGTCTCACCCGGGGTGAGAGGTAGATCGTATTTCTATTCTCACCCCGGGTGAGAATAGCCACTTCCTATCTAGATTTCTAGATCTAGATCTAGATCTAGAATCTAGATCTATAATCTAATCTATTATCTAGATATAGATCTAGATCTAGATATATAGATTTTATATCTACATTTAACATTGACTCTACTCTACTTACTTCACATCTGACGCTGCAACAATCTCCTGAACGATCCGTTCGGTGTCCATTTTTTAGACTTCTTACTGGCTGCTGGCGGGGTACAGTGGTAGATCTACAGATGTGAATAGAGCACCTCAGTCCGCCTGGGTCGCATGGGATCTGCCTCAACTCAATGCTCTCTAGAAAAGACAGCTGTTGTCTCCATGGCTCGGAATCGGCTCGACGAATTTCGCGGTTCGCGGAAAAACATGGCGGAAACAAACAAAAAAAACATACTTTGATAGGTGAAATATGGTTATAGAACATATAATTCTGGTCCAAGACGAAAAAATGATCCCAAGATCAAAAGGGAATAAAGATACGATGTGATGGGTGGAGTCGTCTTCCTATTCATAAAAATAGGACATAGTTTGGGGGAAAATGTGCCCCCCAGCAGCTCTTTCAGAGAGACAGTCCGCAGACTGACTCACCTCAACCGCCAGATACCCGGTTTCCCTCTGCACGGGTCGCACCTCACGGTCAACGAGGCGCCCACTCTGTGGGATGGGTGACCTCTCTTTTTGCAGCACATGAGGTCAGCGGTGGGAGGAAAGATAAAAGAAGAAAGAGAGAAGGAAGGAAAAGAGGAAAATACGCCAAAGTCGGGGTCGCATCCGGATCCCAAAATAGCATTGACGACTTCTTAATATGTTGCGGTTCGAAAAACCCTCAACTAAGAGATGTGGAAAAGCATTTTCAAACGCAGCTGCACAAACTTGAAAAGTGGGCAAATAATAATGATTTCAAGTTTTCCCCGTCAAGTAAAGACGGTTGCAGCGTGCACTTCTGCCAATCAGGCAGACGTGTACTACAGCCGGATTTGACGCTCTACGGGGAAAGGATTCCCGTCCAGGACCAGGCTCGTTTCCTCGGTGTTTAATTCGTCAAAAAACTCACATTCATATCACACATCAAAGACCTTCGAGCGAGGTGCCAGAAAGCGTTATAAACGCTTTGAAAATTCTATCGCACCCGGAGTGGGGCGGGGACTCAAAACACCTTCTCCACTTGTACATCTCCCTTGTCCGATCCGGGCTTGACTACGGCTGTCACGTCTCTGTGGATCGGCAAAACCACAAATCCTAAAAATGCTAGACCCATTGCAAAACCAAGGACTCCGCCTCGCTCTTGGGGCTTTCCGCACTTCTCCGGTGGAGAGCCTCCTAGCCAAGGCAAACATACCATCACTCGCACTCAGACGCTCACAACTCGCACTACAATACGCAATTAAACAGAGCTCAACACCAGAGAACCCAGCACACGACTGCATTTTCAAAACAAACCAAGACACCATAAACAAATTCTAAAACAACGAAAAATTCATCAAACCCTTCGGCCTCAGAGTCCTTGAGAACCTCAAAAACATACACTTTTCCAAACAGGACATCTAACAATATCTCTTCCCCAACCTTCCTCCATGGCACCTCACCAAGGCAAAAGTAGATTTACAGTTGACCACACACAACAAAGCAAGCACAAACACCAAAACATTTAAAGCAGAATACAACCAAAAAAAAAAACCGTTCAGAAAAATAACCCCGCGCGGAGCTAATCTTCACAGATGGCTCCAAATCGGACTCTGGTGTGGGCGCTGCAGCCCTATCTTCAAACAGTACACATCAGAGGACATGCCATCCCGAAGCCTCCGTTTTCTCTGCGGAGGCCCCTGCCATTGGCATGGCACTGGACTCCGTAGAAAATTCTCCTAACAAATCTTTCCCTATCCTTTCTGACTCTCTGTTTTGCATCACCTCACTTACAACCTACACGCTCCTACACCCAAAAGTAGTTAGGCTACAACAAAAAATGCACTCCTTGGCTGAAACCGGGAAAAGTATCGTGTTTGCGTGGCTACCTAGCCATGTGTGCATCCGATGAAACGAGCAGGTAGATCACCTGGCGACGGAATCCTTATCCCTTCTGTGGGGACCAACGACAAACGCTCTCCCACAGACTGACTTTAAAAATAAAGTTAAAAACTACACTTCCAGTCTGTGGGAGATTCATTGGAAAAAACAAAAACGAGTGAACAATCAACTTTACAACGGTAAGCATAAACTGGGACCGAGAAACCCTTCGGGCCTCTCCAGAAGAGACGAAGTCATTTTACTCGATTACGCATCGGACGCACGGTCCTTCAAGGAGATGAGAAGCCGTTCTGTGTCGGATGCGACACATATTTTATCATTAAACACATTTTAACCAAATGCCTAGACTTCAGAGAGACCTGAAGGAAATATTTTAGAGGCAAAAAAAATTGCAAGATCTGTTGTCCGTCGTTGATCCCAACAGAATTCTGGATTTTTTAAAGGCCATTTGCCTTTATGGGAAGTTGTAAATGAAATAAATTTGTTTAAAAAATATGTTATTTAAAAAAATTATTTTAGATAAAAAATGTATTTACAGCCGAAATTTAATATTTTAGCATTTTAGAGAACATGCTGACCCAAACCGGACTGTGAAATGTGCTGTTGCGACAGAACAAACTTATTTCGCGCGCTCATATGACCTTATGCAGTTGCGAGCACTGTAAAACTCCTACAAAAAAGAGAGAGTACAGAGAAAGAGAGAGAGAGAGAGAGAGAGAGAGAGAGAGAGAGAGAGAGAGAGAGAGAGAGAGAGAGAGAGAGAGAGAGAGATTTATATAGTATCAATTTAGGTAGACAGATATCATGTAGACGGTTGAAGGTTATTTTACCAAAGTTTGGTTCGAATTCTTTTTTTTTTCCCTTTCATCTATTGTTTCTGTCTGCTCATCTTGTTTTTTCGATGTACCTTCTAATTTTTTATTTTCTTTCTTTTTTTTCCAATGGAAGGGAAATTACCCACTGCGGAAAAGTGTGTCTTGTGGTCATGAGTCACAGCTTGGAAATTCTTTACGCCTTCCATCATACAGACTTCAACATAAGTTAAGGACCACCTTAACAAACAGCCCTGATTTTTTTTTAAAAATCCGAAAAAAGACAGCAAGGAATGTTTCAAAATGTTTTGTCCTGAAAGTATTAATGGATTAAAAATGCGTACTGCAAAGCTTCTTAAAGGGGCAAAACCACCACGTGCAGCACGGAAATCCTTGGGGAATTTTAGCAAAATTTGATTGTTTTTAATCAACTTAGTGTGAGCAACACCATGGACATTCCTCAGTTAAAATTTATGGTGCGCGTACGGACGTACGGTCTCGAAATGTGCTCACTTTGGTGGCAATATAAGCCGCCATTTGAGCGAAATCCAGTACATGTATAGCTTCAATATGCCACCGAGAGGAAAACTGAGGGACTTTGATCGTGCCAGAGCTATGGCACGGCAGCCGGATGGAGTTGGAGAACGAGAAGTTACCTGAAGGCTTGCAGGGTCACAGTCTGTCATCATTGTCCGCTTGAGGCAGCACCCAAGCCACTGGATTAATCCAAGAACGCCCACGTGCAGATCGACCCAAGAAGACCACTCAGGGTGTTTGCAAGTGGTCCTTAACTTTATGTTGAAGTCAGTAGATAAGACATATTATAGATCTACCACATAGATCTACTAAAACTTTAACTCGTGTCAATCTTCGACTGTTCGCCCTGTTGGTATTGGGCGTTGGTGGGTTTGACCCTTGCTCAGCGATCTATCAACGGCACCTTGACTTTCTGTTTCAGCGTGTAAGAATAAAGAGACATTACATATAATAATATAGAGACAGCTTATATAGAGTTGTCAGCTTGCGATAATAAATGGATATTTTATAATACATGTAATATATATACAGACAGAGGAGTTGCTAGTTTCTGCAATATCTCGGGGCCCGCCTCTTTGTAAGTTAAACTCTTACTCTTATCACTCAGTGTTGTGTGTGTATTGTATTCGCTCGTGTTGGGAAACTGTCAGAGCCAAGCATTTTTGAAAAACAAAATAGCCCCCCTCATGTTCTACAAAAGTGATTCTCTACCATATTTTCTACTAGGCTAGTTGATCTATACGGCTATCAGAACCACGCTCTTTCGAACCCCCCCCCCCCCCCAAAAAAAAAAAACCAACAACAACAACAACAAACAACAACAAACAAACAACCCCAAACAAAACAACAACAACAACAACAAAACAACAACCACAACAAACAAACAAACAAAACATCAACAACAAAACACCAACAACAAAAAAACACACAACAAAAACAACTGTCTCCCCTCATGTTCTACAAAACTGATTCTCTGTCAAATTTCTACTGATGATATACGGGGGGTAATAGAAGGTATAAAATAATTACAGTAAACACAGCTTGTGCGACTTTTTATTCTATAAATTAATGGGAAAGATATCATGGCTTTGTTTAAATCTCTCATTAAGTGTTACGACTGGGTGGAATCAGACACTCGTCAATTTTTGGGCAGGCGTAGTTATTGGTACCATCTGATAGCTGATTTATTTGCCGCCTTGCCGTCAATGAAATAGATATCCACCTATTTTGAATAAATCTCGAGATATTTACGATTGAAGGAAGCGAGGTCGCCTGGTTTGAGTGGTGAAATTAGTGAGAAAATGGCCGCAAAAGTTTGTAACTTCAATATAGTCAAAGAGTCCACGAAAGCTGAAAATTGACAAAAGCTTATTTTGTGTCTGAAAATCAATGTTTTACAGTAAAATTCACACGGAAATGTGTTATTATATACGGACATAAAAGAATTTGAGCCAAAAATAAACATATAAAAATTTCCAAACGTGCAAATGCCGGTTTCTCCGATTTCTGTATTCTGATGAGTGCCAGATTTCACCATGGTGCCTCGTTTTTATCTTCTGTACAAAGTACAAACGCAGAGATGTATGTCAACGTCAAAGCAAAGAAGGGGGCAATGAATACACTTGCTATGGTGGAAGGGGTGAGCAAATGTTAGGAGAGCCCCTCTTTAAATCTGAAAGGTTTTTATTCATATTTTCTCCTTACTAACCCTCTTTTGTTTCTGTCTGCCCATTAATCTTACCATTCTTTATCTAGCACTTTATGGCAGCCATTGTATCGGCGTGTTTCCGGAGAGTCATTCCATATCACACCATATCTTTACATTTAGACATAATGTAATTAATGGATGCTTTTCCGTTACTCTGCAAACTATAGTATAGTGTTGATTAGCGTACCTTTAAGGGGAGGGGCTACAGCTGAGGGCTATCTGGCTTATTAGTGGATCAAATGTTACCAAATTTTAATTTCACACACATAACAGGCATGGTATAGTAAGGGGTTTTAAAATCCAAAATCAAACTGGAGAAAAAGTTTCATTTCCATGGATACGGCGGCCATATTGGATTTTGTTGACAAGTCTTACGTAATTAATAGGCTACGGTACTTATTTTTTCAAGGAAATAAACTGTTTGTTTTTTTGTTGCTTTTTTTTGCATGCATCTTATCAAACAATATATCTCCAAATCTGTAAAATGAATTTTTCCTAAATGTACTAGAACAATTTTTATGATCTTTTTCCTGAGGTAGAATCTAAAAATTCACGTATGCAAAAAGTCCGTGAAAATCCATGCTCCAAACACTACCAACAAAAAACTATTCCATATATATATAAAAAATTCATCTCACAGATTTTTAGTTTCACCTCTTTTTTTCATTCTGTGAAAATGTCATTAAGATTGGATGAAAATTGGTGGAGTTATTTAAAAAGTATATAGAGTCTAGATCTCTAGAAAAACCACATTTCGAGAAAACGCGCGATAAAGAAAAATAAAAGATTGACTTATGAGGAAATGGTGGTGACAAACATGCCCGGTATGGGAAGAAATAAGGCAATAGGGGATTCTTATGCGATGAAATAGTTGTAAGAGAAGCTGAAGAAGCTAAAAATGCCTACAACCTAAAATCCATAGTTTTGAGCCGAATCGGGACTTTTTGGGATGTAGCTCCTTTAAGCCTCAACAAAAGAAAGGAGAGTCAATTCCATATATAGAATCTATACATGTAACACAACATCGTCACATAATCTAATGAATGTTTTCCTTTACTCTGCACTACATTCAGATTGCTCGCTTGTAGACTAAGATGAACTTCCCCTTTTCTTTTCAGAGCATGCAAACACGATGTTCATATTGGCATTGGACATGAGGCTCATACTTCTGCTCCTGTATGTGACGTCATTCGCGAGTTTCTCAGCAGCCATGCTGGATGTGAACCACAGCGAGCTGAGATACGTGGCAGACCATCTCACTGCTCAGAAATGTTCTCTTTTGTTGAAGGCCTTGAAACAAAAACAGTTCCAGGTAGACTATCTAATTTGATTTAAAGTGACTCCAGTGCCTTACTAGCCACAGTATGTACAGACCTGTACTATATCCACACACACACACACACACACATACACAAATAAACAAGCAAACAAACTGCATATCGTTCCCATGAGAAAATACATGTACTTCAAAGACTGTTAGTCATCCACCATGTGTAGGCATACCCAACATAAATACGTTATAACTCTATCTCTCTCTCTCTCTCTCTCTCTCTCTCTCTCTCTCTCTCTCTTTCTCTCTCTCTCTCTGTCTGCCATTCTCTCTATATCTCTCGCTCAGTCCCTTTCTTTCTCTCTATCATTTCTCTCTCTCATCTCTCTCTCCCGTCTCTCTCTGTCTCTCTCTATCTCTATCTCTCTCTATATGTCTCTCTCTCTGTCCCTTTCTCTTTCTCTCTCTCTCTCTCTCTCTCTCTCTCTCTGTCCCTTTCTCTCTCTCTCCTCTCTCTCTCTCTCTCTCTCTCTCTCTCTCTCTCTCTCTCTCTCTCTCGCTAGTAACACCTCCAATTGTAGACACCTATATGATCTATATGCTTTGCACGTCGTCACAAAACTCTTGGGGGCTCTC